ATTGGGAAGCTGATCCAGGAGACATTTTTATCTTTGGCCCTATGCCTTGAAGTTCAGTGAGTTGGACAAAACCACTTCAGACTTTGGAACGAAACACATTCGTTTCAGCCAATCCAGATTATCTTCGAGAGAATCAGCTGGTAAGCACTATGTTGTGCGTGATGTTTGTAGAAGAAAGTGAAAAGATCACCATGCACACGGATCACTGATTGTTTCAGGCTTACTTGTTGGTGAATCCCTGAGGCCAGGTTGCTAAATGTCCTGGTAGCTCAATGGAGTGCAGAGTCTATTCTAGGGGACCGCAGTGTACATAGTGTCCTCCATCCTAATCTGTTCTCTGCCACTAGTTACTGTGTGTCGTTGGGCAGGTCGCATTCCCTCTTACGATTTGTTTTCCTTAACTGTGAGGTAAAGGATTTAGGATAAACTTATATTTTTCAAAATGTGTCTTTGGTTATACTTTTTAATTTAAAAAATTTTTAAATATTTATTGTGTGTGTGTTTGTGTATATGGGCACATGTGTGGAGGTCAGCAGACAATTTAGGGGAGGTGGTTCTCCCTGCCCTGTGAGCTCCAGGGATCTGACTCTAGTTGCCAGAGCAAGTGTTCTTCACTGAGCCCTGGCTATGCTTTCACATGTGTTGCTGGAGGGAGCTCACCAGTGTGCTTTGTGTACCACTGACTGAACTGAGGATTTTGGGAATCCATGACGAATGCTTTTATTTACCAGTTTTTTTTTAATTGTCTTATTATTATGTGTTTCGTTGCTTGTGCCATAGTGTGTGTGTATGGAGATCAGAGGACAACATTCTAGACTCAGTTTTCTGCCTCTACTTTTACATGGCTCACATAAAAGGGACTAAATTGAGGTTATCAGACTTGAGAAGCAAGCACCTTTACCTGTTGAACCATCTCAGCACTCCTCCCCGCCTCCTTTTCTTTCTGAGACAGAGTTTCACTATGTAGAGCAGATTGGCCTTGAAATCACAGAGATCAACCTGCCTCTGACTCCCAAGCGATGGTATTAAAAACACGTGCCACCATGCCTGGCTCAGTTCTGTTTTTTAGTGTGTAGTGATGAAAGCTTAATTAACGTAAAACACCTGTGACTCCATGAATGGCAATAGATACTAAATAATAATGGTGCTAGATACTAAAGTAGATATAAATTTTTTAAGCCAAAGAAAAATATTGGGAGAACAGCAGTCAGATGGTAAGTGAAACATGCGAAAAAACTAATCGCACTGCCTTGACAAAGTCTTTGTGGTAATGGGTACAGTATAGATAGAGTGGGTCCAAGTTTGTGCAGATTTAAAGGCTTGTTTTTGTTTTGTTTGATCTTTTTTGAGACAGGGTCTCCCTATAACCTCAGCTGGCTTGGAACTCACTACGTAGACCAGGCTATCCTCCTGCCTCTGCCTTCCAAGTGCTGGGATTAAAGGCAGTCACCACCACACCTGACTTAAAGGCTTGTTTAACTCAAGCAGTTTGACAAATTTGACAAAAATATCCATTGGTAGACTGCAGAATTTAAAGACATTGCCAAAGTGCCCCTGGGTACATTGTATAGAATTTAAATATCACAGACATTATTAAACTGCTACCTTTTTTTTTTTTTTTTTTTTTTTTTTTTTTAAAAAAAAAAAAAAAAAAAAAAAAAAAAAGAGGACGATAAATCTTTTGACAACTTACTATGTAGACCAGGCTGGTCTCTATCTCACTGAGAGTCAACTGCCTCTGCCTCCCAAGTGCTGGGATTAAAGATGGTGCCACCACACGCAGTGTGGTGTCTTATTTTTATTTATTTTTAATATTTTATCTTTATTTCATGTATATGAGTATATTGCCTGTATGTATGTAAATGCACCTATGTCATGCAATGCTTTGGAGGTCAGAAGAGGGTATAGGATCCCCTGGCATTGGTGTTAGGATGGTTAGCTGCCATGTGGGTCCTGGGACATGAATCCAGGTCCTCTGCAAAAGCCGCCAGTGCTCTTAACCACTGAGCTCTCTCTCTACTTTCGTTAAAAATAACGAAAAAATAAATACTGTTATTTTCTCTTCACCTTCAGCAGATTCCCCAGTACGTGGATTGATCTGTAGTTCCATTCATTCTTTATTGTTAGGACTTCCTATGGTAGAGGTTATGATTTGACTTCATCTGTGTGGGAGAGAAAGCCTGACCACACACACATATCTTGCACCCAATCCAGCATATGATTCAGTGTTCTGGAAGGCTAGGCTCTGCCCATTCTAAGAAGTGATCTGCACTTGTTTCTGGTGACTGCTCTAAAGGAACAGTGTGACATGTGCCCTAAGATGAAGTTAAGCACTGAGGCAGGCAGTATTTAAAATCTTTTGCCACTGCTCATAATTCAACCTCTTGAGTAGTGATAGAAAAGAGAAGTCTGTCCCAGTAACACCCTCAAATATAGTGGAAATTTCTGTGGAACAACAGAAGCTGAGAAAGCTGCTTTCAGATGTAACCTGTGTTTCTTGAGGGTTTTATTTTATTTTAAAGACTGTAGCCTGTGGACATTTCTGCCTGTCTTCACACTGTCATCTTTAATTATCTGTGTGTGGTGGATGAGCTAAAGTTTGCAGATGATCTTGTTCTAAATGAATTCATCATAAAGGGCCATAGATTTGGTATAGCTCCTTGAAATAAATTAATGTTTCAAATTATAATTTAAAAAGAATGTTCATCCATTACATTCCTGAACCACTTGTGTCTAAGCCAAGTACCTGGTAGCTCACCCACTTCGCATGCTAGAGGGACTGTACTGGATGTCGGTCCTTGGCCAGCTTATGTCCCCTTGAGTTTGTTTCTGTTATTTTAAAGTTTTTCTTTTTTTTTTTTTTTTACATTTTATTGGGGCTGGAGACATGACTCAGAGGTTAAGAGCACTGGCTGTTCATGCAGAGGACCCGGGTTTGCTTCCCAGCACCCACATATCAACTGACAACTGTAACTCCAGTTCCAGAAGATTCGACTCCCTCTTCTGACTTCCAGGGGCAGTTCATACATGTGGTGCACTTACATACATGCAGGCAAAACACTCACATAAAAATAAGTAAATATTTTAGAATTGTACATTTATCTGTGTGTGTGTGTGTGTGTGTGTGTGTGTGCGCGCGTGTGCGCGCCTGTGCACCACTGTGAGTGTAATGGAGGTCAGAGGACAATTTTCAGGAGTTCTCTCCTTCCATCCTATGGGTTTTGAGATCAAACAAATGCTTGGCAGCAAGTGCACTTAACCTCTGAGCCAGCTCACAAGAATTCTACCCCTGAGCTCTATCCCTCTCTGTAATTTCATAATGAGAAACTCAGATGTTTCCCAACTGAGGTGGGATCTAGTGCTCTGTGCCTGACTTCTTCATAATTTTGATTTTGTCCTTAATACTGTCTTGTCTTCCTGAGAGGTTGTGACCTGTGTCAGGGTGTATTTGGGAAGGGAAAAAGCCTTTTGCTTTTTCAGGATTGAAAATCTTCATTGTTGCTAAGATTATACTCTATAGCAGCAATCTGAACAGATTAATTTACAAACAGATTAATTTATTTGAATTCTAGATCAGGCATTGTACTTGTTTCCTTGGCTATAAAAAATCACAAGACCATCTTACTCAGGGTAGAGATTAGGTTTCTGAAATATTCCATTTCCCTTGGTGGGGACGTTCATCGTTTTTATTTATAGGTAATAACTGATGAGTCTGAATAAATTCTGGAAGGGAATGAACAGGGGTTGTTTGCCCTTGGTCTACAACTAGCCTCTGTACAACTAGAGAGGGGTTGTTTATTTCCATCTCTTCTTGGAAAATTGCCATTTGATCAATGTGTCTTGGTTAAGATATATTGTGGGCAGCTGAGCCGTTGAGCCTTTGAGGATGAGAACCACATGAAAGCTCAGTCTTTCCCAGTCATTCAAGTGATTGTCTTCATGTTACTGTAAGTTTATAGAAGTATGAGCATTTGAGAGTACACACTAAAAAAGCTAATGCAGAAGGAAGAGTCTAAAGGCCATAATACAAACATGGTGGTAGAGTTCAGTGCCTTTCTAAGCCATTCTTAAATATTTCCAGTACCATTTACAATGGTCTCAGGATAAAGTAACCTTTCATTTCATCTAGAATCTTTTCATCACATAGTAGGAGGACAGAACCAATTCCACAAGTTGTCCTGATTTCTGCACAAACACTCACAAAAATAAATAAATAAATGTAATTTTAAAAAACCCACCAAAGTGCAGCCTCTTTTGAGATCTTGGAAACTTGAACTTTCATGACAGTTTCAGATCAGAAAAATTTAAGTGGAGGCTTAAGTGTGACTTTGAAACCTCTTTAGTCAAAGAACTGGAATCGCCTAATTTATAAAAGCTTTTGTTTTCTAAGTATCCAGTTCTCAGTCATTGCTTGACCCAGCAGAAAGAGCTAATAAATGTTAGGCAACAGGTAAGAATCTTTCTGGTCACCTTTGCCCCATTTGGAAGGAAGTGGTTTTTCCTTCCCTGTGAATAATTTGGCCTAAGCTCCTCCTCTTCTGATTTGTATCTTATCTGTTTGCATATAATACTTGATTTCATAAAAAGTTGAAAAGCTCTCCAGTATTTAGTATTTCTCATAAAACCTGCTTAAGCAGAAGTTCTTTTGATTGCCACAGCAGCTTAACAGAACAAAACTTTAAAAATTGTCTTAGCAGTACTTAAGGTCTTTAAACAGATACAAGATCATTTCTCTTAAGAAGAAACAGATTTTGTAGTTTTCCAGTTAGAAACATATGAGCAAAGGACTGACTTTCCCAGATGGAATGTGTATCATTCATAGGGGACTTCTGAAACTCAAAACCAAACTTGTAAGCTAGAAAATGTTGGCCTTCAAAATGCGACATTCTTACCATTGTATCACAGAGAATTGTATGTAGTCTGGTCTTTTTTCATGGACTGACCCTATGATTGAATACTTGGTGTTTCAGGAAGCAAAAAATGTGTTTATATGTTACCAGGTATTCATTCTAACAGATTGAGTGCTTGTGGATCTTGTTCTGAAGGACCTTATAGCATGTAACACCAGACACAAGAACATCAGTGCTGTAAAACCATCCGTGTTATCAGGGTCAGCGGGTCAGCAAGGAGACCTGTGCGAAGAAAATCTGAGCTAGGGCTGAAGACGACATTCAGGAATGCTAACAGTGCAGGTAAGCTGCATTGCAGGCGAGGCCGGGGCATCTTGGGGAGTCTGCCAGTATTTTAGTATGCCTGAAGTGTCTGGAATGAAAAGGCGAGAAAAGATGACAGCCTTTGAGGTCAAACTCAGAAGAGCTTTGTGTGCGTTGTTGAGTTTGAATGTATAGGTGAAAGAGAATATAAATTTGGGGAATACTAGGGATTGATGTCAGGAGCTTGTGTATATAAGACAAGGACTGTAAGCCACCGAGCCCCAGCCCTGTTAAATGATTTTAAATAAATAGGTACTTGGCATGCCCGTATGTGTGTGTGTGTGGGGGGGGGTCATTTCCTGTGGCAGTGGGAGACTGGAAGTATGTAAACCATTTATGAGATATTACACTCAAGATGGTTGTCAAGACCTGAACTAAGTCACTGTAGACTTATTAAGGAGTAGATAGATATTCAAGTGCCAAAGTTTACAAAGTTTGCTGTAATCTGATAAAATGTATTGCTTCTGTGCCCCACAGGGGTCAGTAAGTAGAAGACTACTTTGCTCTGTATAGCCCCACATAGACCCAGCAAGATGGTCCACTGTTTCATACTGCACCATTTGTGCTGGCTTGATTACTTTTGGCTTACCCCATAGGAGACAAGATTGCTGTGATGTGACCTCCCAACTGATTAAGTCTAGACACAAAAAATCACATCTACCTGCAGCTCTTTGCATCATTTCTGCCTGCAGCTCTTTGCATCATTTCTGCCTGCAGCTCTTTGCATCATTTCTGCCTATGGTTTACTTACCAGAAGTAGACACAATTCCCTACCTAAGTGAAAGGAGGCTTGGAAACTAGGGGAGCAGGTGGGAGGCCGGGTCTTCCCTATTCTTGTCACAGAATAGGGACTTGTATAAATTAGTTGCCTACCTTTCTGTCTGTTTTAGACTTGTAAGTTAGTTGCCTGCCTTTCTGTTTGTGCTTGAACAGTGTCTGCAGCCTGGTACTTGCAGTCCTGCCTCAGCCTCCCAAGTGGTATGATTACAAGTATGTGCCACTGTTCCTGGCAAGGTGCTTTATTTCTGCCCTAGTTCCCTCATCGGTAGATAGAGATAGCAGAAACATCAATCTTCTTGGGTACCTGTAAAGATTAAATGCTGTGGGGGCTAGAGAGATGGCTCAGCAGTTAAGAGCACTTACTCCTCTTGCAGAGGACCTGGGTTCAATTCCCAGCACCCACAGTGTGGCTACAAACCATCCTTAACTCCAGGTCCAGGGGAATCTGAAGCCCTCTTCTGACCATCGAGGCATTGCACAACATGGGTGCACTCACATACATGTAGGCAATCCACTCATACACATAAAATAAAAATAATAAATAAAATATTTAAAAAAGAAGATTAAATACCGTGAGGACTGGAAAATTCTTAACAGTCTTGACACTAGACACTAAAGATACTGGGGGGAGGGGGGGCTGGAGAGATGGCTTTAGGGGTTAAGAGCACTGGCTGCTCTTGCAGAGTACTGGGTTCGATTCTCAGCACCCACACAGTGGCTAACAACTGTCTATCTCCAGTTCCAGGAGAATCCAGGGCCTTCTGACCTCTACAGGCATTCTGCCACATGGGTGCACTTACACACATGCAGGTAATACACTCATACACATAAAATAAGAATAATAAAATATTTTTTTAAAAAGATACTAGAGGGAAACTTGAAGCTTGGTTTTGAGATTGTCCAAACTATGGGTTGTATTTCCTTGGAGGGTCATAATCAGCAGGGAAAACACTGGAAGAAGAAATAGCATAAATCAGAGTCCATCATGGGAAGAAGAGTCAGTATTCATGAAACTTTGCGTTCTGTATTTATATGTGTATATTAGGTCAGAGTATAGAATCCATTATTTGATGCAGGTCATAGGTAAAGTTTGAAAGCTGTGGGTCCCTTTTAAGCTCTCATGCTCGTTTACTGAAAGACATATCTGTGCCAGACAAGGTGTCACTCTCTTGTAATGCAGGCACTTATGGAGGTGGGAGGCATCAGATCCTCTGGGAGCTAGAGTAACAGGCAGCTGTGAGCTACCCAGTGTGGGTGTTGGGAATCCTGCTTGGGTCATCTGGGTGTGTACGTGCTCTTAACTGCTGAGCCGTTTCTCCAGCCCCCATTCCTCTTAATTTTTGTTTTGTGTTTTGAGACAGGCTCTCCCTGTAGCCACAGCTGGTCTGAAACTCACTGTGTAGACCAGGCTGACCTCAAACTTAGAGATCCTCCTGCCTCTGCCTCTTGAGTGCTGGGATTAAAGGCATGGGCCACCACACCTGACTTTTAATTTTTGTAGTTAGCATGTAAAGTAATGAATTTCACTGTGGCATTTTATACAGATGTGTCATTTTACTTTGTTCCTATCTCCTCCTGTCCTCCTTCACCTCCCTCCTTTGTTGGTCTTCTCCTCTCGAGTAGTCCTACCTTCTGCTTTGATGTCACGTGCATTCTATTACTCTTTCCCTTGCCTCTTTCTCCCTAAGATCTTAGAGTGTCCCCTCCCCACTTGATTCTCTGCAAAATGTTTGTTTCTTAGGTGTCAGCTTTTCCTGCTTACGTCTTCCCTTCTGGGGCTTGCAGTCCAGGATGCTGTAGCTAAAACAGTAACATCCTTTCTCTTTTATGTTCTTGTTCTATTTGACTTTTAGTGAACCATGAGTGTTTGTGCTCATAGGAGTAACTCAAATAGAATACATTCAGTTCAGCCTTATATGTGTAATAGATATGATAATACATCTACTATAATAAAATACAATATTAGATACTTAAAAAATTCAGTCAGAAAAGCCTACTGGGAAAAAAGTAATGAAGTATTTTCTGTTCTCGTTCTTTTGGTTGGGGAGGGAGGCTTGGGAGAAACAAACGTCACACTTTTTTAAGATTGTAAGATTGCCTTCTCTTGATCTGAGTAGTTAATGGTGGCAAGCTGATTTGCAGTGAGAAAGATGACTGTGCCTTTTGCTTAGCTGTGGTGGATGATGACTCTTTATTTGATAAACCCATTGGCAATACTGAGTTGAAACTTGGATGAATAGGAGTTAATCCTGGCGGCCGAGCAGCAGGGAATTTGTTATGTAAGTTATGGTACCCACAAACTCTTTGGCGAGGTCTTTATTATTATGGTAGTATCTGACTGGGCCTTCTGTTCTCATCTAGCTCTGCCAGAGTGATTCTCATAACTGAAAGGGTAGCAACTGGTACAGAAGGCCATCATTTGTCTTTTGCCTTGACATAAAGTGTGCTGATCAAGAATGGTTGTTAGGAACCCAAAATATTGCAGTTGATGATTTACTAATAGTTTAGAAGATTTCCTCCCATCCTGTTAAACTGATTTAACTTCTGAGAAATGAGCCATATTCAGGATTTCAAACATTTCTTCTTTGACTAGCCTCAAAAAACATTAATATTTCTTTCTTGTAAATTGCTGCTGCGATTCATTTATGTCAGCCCTGCCACTGCCCAAACAAACACAAGAGGGATGTCAGTTTGGTTTTCTCTCATTGGTGGATGTCCACTGTTAAACAAGCCTGTACTATTTTTTTCTGACTCACTGAGAAGTCATATGGTGGTGTGATCCGCCATCTCCAGCTACCAGCACTTAAACTTGTAATACTTGTAATTTTCAATGTATTGTGTTAAAACAAACTTCTAATTCTGGCCATTTTTCTTTTCAACTTTAGACCTAAAATTGGAAGCTCTATTTTTATGAAACAGTCTCCTAGAAAAGTCACCAGTGTTGCTATTCTCTCACTACCCCAAATATCATAACTGGGCCTGGGGGTGGGGAGAGCAAGAGCTGGCTGTTTCACATGGTTAAGCAGAATGTGTGGGTCTGCCTGCCAGGCAGCGGAGGTGGAATCTGCTCTTTGCTTTCTTGGCAAGTAAGTGTGTCTGGCTGTGGAAGCTTTGTTTAGGACTTTAGTTCTTGGCCTTTTCTTGCTGCCATGGGCAGCATAGCCCATTGTCTCTAGGGATCTGCAGAGGCAGAGGACCTCTGTTGTCCACATCTTACCCTCTTTGACAAGATACACGCTTCAGTCATCCAAGAAAGCCATTCTGTCATCAAATGAGTTTTTGTGAGTAACACAGTGGTATCACGTATCTCAAGAACTGTAAAACTGGCATGAGTCCTTCATGTTTTAAGTAGTTGAATCCCTACTTAAAACATTATACACTGTTCAAAAAAAGGTACTCACTTTAGCTTTTGCATATCTAACCCCTTCAAATAGGATACTTTACTACTGAGTCGGGGAGACTAGCTGATGGAGGTATTCACTGGGGCTTCCTAGAGTGCTACGTGGCTGTGGTGACAGTTAACCTTTGAGCTTGTGCCTTTGATAAAAGAGGCAGGAATGATTTCTGTGAATAATGTGATTTATTTCTCCCCCTAGAGGAATGAGGTATGGATCAGAAAGAGACAGGTTGAACTCCGTTTCAGTTTTAAATTCTGGATTTCACTGTTCAGGGTGAAAATTAGCTTGTGAAGTAGAGATGGAGTCATAGACTATTGGCTGAGAAGCTGAGCACCATGTTTGCAGCACATTATTTAAGAAACAGATGAGGTGGGGAAGATTTGGAACAATGAACAGTTCCCTCCCTTCTCTTTTTCTGAAGGTAGTGGAGTGCTGAAAGTAGAGGGGCCTCAAAGAAGTCTGGCCTAAGAACCAGTTCTTGAGAAGTGAAATTGAGTTCTGTAGCCATAGGGTTCAGCTTCCTTTGCTGTTAAATATTTGTTAACATCATTTAATTAGAATTGGTATAAATAACTACGATTTGGTGGGCATTGATTGTGCTGGCGCAAGCGCTAAGCTTGCCAGGTTCATCGTGAATTCAGTCATGAGTTAGTAAAATGACAAGACCTGGTGCCTTGTGCAGTGTGAACACTCAGTTTCAGTGCTTGATCACTCATCAGCGGGTGCTTATCAGACACTTGCTATGTGCCATGTAACTGAAATGCATAGGAAAAAAATCCATACTATTTGGGGGAGCAGACA